TTATGTTATTTTATTTTTATAAAATGAATGATGTATGGATGATAGGTGGGGTTTGATGAGCTTGGTGGGAGTGATGATTTTAGCACTGAAGAACTGGAGGAGAGGTTGGGGAAAGGTGAAGTTATATTTTTTGAAGGAGAATCATCTTTGAAACCATCAAAAAAGCCTCAAACAAGAAATGTTCGACATGGCTCCAACTCTCATCATTCGGATTCTGATTAACCTTTTCTGGTTCTAAACAATTCTTCCCCAACAAACTGTTCGCATTCTTCCTCTTTACCTCATCAAGTTCCTGGAGTTGACAAATTTTCATTTCAAATCAAAAGTGTAAGGGTATTTTGGTCATTTGGTAATTAATAGTCATTAGTCATTACCTTTTTGACAGAAAACAAACTAGGTTGCAGCTTCAAAATATATTGTTGCACTTCTGGGGTCATTTGACCAACATTTGGAAACTCGGATGCATTTTCACTAGTTTCTTCAGATTTATGTGTATTTGTTATTATATTGTTGTGTATTAATTTAGAATCTCTAATTGTCTGCTTATTGTGGAGTAAATTACACCATTCGTCCCTCGTCAAAGTGTCAAATTGCGCGTTTAGTCCCTATTTTTAAAAATTAACTCGGATCGTCCCTATAATGTTTTTTTTCTCACTCGGACCGTCCCTGACTAACATAAAATGACTATTTTACCCTTTTCGTTTTTTTTTTATATTTTTTGATTTGTTTATTATTAACAATTTAAAACAAAAATAAAAAAGTAAAGAAAAACAAAAATGGGCCCACCACCACAAACATTTATCATCTACCCTGGCCTCACCCACACCCTTTAACCCTTCATCAATTTATCTTCTTCAGTTTATCTTCTACGGCTGGACCACCACGCACCACCGTCGACCGCCACCTCTTTTTCTGTCAAAAACGCCGTCGATGACCCTTCTTCCCTCCTTCTTCTTCCCACATGTCCTTAAACCATAACCATCTTCTCAGCTGATGTGATATAGAGCAAGAGAAATGGAGATGAAGCCGCCATCGCCACCTGTTCATAGATTTATTCTCCAAGTGGTGGTTTTCGAAGGTGGCTTCGTATTCTCCACCCAATATATCCGGTGGTAATCTAAAAAATCCGGTGGTAACCCAACAGATCCGGTGAAAATGAGATTTTTTTGAAGGTGGAGATAAAGGCATACATGTGGTGGGCGGTTGGTTGTGGCTTAGTGAAGACATGGGCCAGAGTGGAGGCAGAAATCGAAAGTCTAGCAGACGAAGATGACAACGTAAATATGAAAAAACCCTAACCGACGGAGGCGTGGAGGTGACGACGACTTGCAGATCTGCGACAATGTTTTAGTGATGGTGCAGATCTGAGGCAACGTTCAGTGGTGATAGAGGGGAAGGAGACCAGAGGCGATGCCGCCGATGTCCAGTGGTGATAGATGTGAAGGATGACGGAGAGGAAGGCCGGCGACGGCGTTGGCTAGCTAGGGTTTTGTATTGCTGTCAGATGTGGGTGTGAAAGAAGAAGATGACGCCGGGTGTAGTGGGTTCCAAGCAACGGCGATGCAGTGGTGATGGTGGAGCACCGACGTCAATCTCACTGGAGATGATGAAGAGGAACATGAAAGTTAGAATATCCGGGTGGTTCTTGAAAGAAAAGAGGAAGAAGAGGAATATACGAGGGTGGGGCCTACTTATTTAATGTTTTTTAAAATTATAATTATTAATAATAACAATCTAAAAATAAATCAAAAATAAAAGAATAAGGGTAAAACAGACATTTTATGTCCCTTAAATGATTCAAGGGACCAAGCGTGCAATTTTTAACGATATAAGGGACCATCCGAGTTAATTTTTGAAAATAGGGACTAAACGTGCAATTTGACAGTTGAACGAGGGACGAATCGTGTAATTTACTCCTTATTGTCTGAAGTTTCTTCATATGTACTAGTAGAAATAAAACCCATGGCATAATCACCTTTTGTTTTTTAATTTATTTAAGTATATAATAACCCCTATCATAATCACCCATGTTTCTAGTTATTTAAAATGTTAATATCAAGTAATATTTATATTTGAAAATACAGTGTCCCCATACGACAAATTAGAGAAGGGGGCTTTATAGCACATTTCGAATAGATGATGTTAAATGTTTAACTGTTTTAAAAAAAAGGTTTTTACATTGGAGAACATTTGTGAAGATAAGATTTGGATAAACAAAAGTTACTGCAAAATGATTTGGCAAAAGAAAGTCATTGAATATGTTAGGTTTAAAATGTTTTGAATTTGGTCTTAAACCAACTATGAATGACCTATGAATGTTCATAAACATACTATTGGATGAAAATAAAGAAGCATATTTATGGTGGCCATTAATATTTGTTGGAAATAATCACTGATAAGGTCTCTTTGTCACCTAGATAAGCATATTTGAGGTGATCGGGAAATTTCTTCAACTCTAGAACTGATGCCTGCACAATAGAAGGAAGCAATTATTCATTAGTAATTGGTAGTTTCAGTTTTAGATGTTTACCTTCCATGTTCTTTCTTTCCATGCATTATACAATCTCAACCAATTTTTCTCGTAAACTAAACTCTCTTGTCAACACAATAGTTGCGTTTTTGTCTATGTTCTTGTTTAAGACTAATGCTAACAACTCTTAATTAGTAACATCGAAACATTCATTAACTATTGGTTCAAACTACATCAATAAAGTTAAGAGCATGAACATCATTAGGATACAGTATAGCCTCATAGATGTTGAAATTGATAATCTCCCCCTCAAACTCCACAAATAGAGTGTCATTATAGACATTTTTTTTGCTATTTTCATAAAGGGTCTTCCCAGAACTGTGGAGCTTGAATTGATGTTGTCACCATGACCCATGTCTAACGTATAAAAGTCGGCTGGAAAAACAAGCTCATTAACTTGCACTAACACGTCCTCTAATATACCCTTAGGATGTACTATACACCGATCAACAAGTTGAATGATAACCCCATTTTTTTTATAAAGATCCGATTCTCATTTATTTATAACAAGAATATGGCAAAACATTAATGAAAGCTCCACCAAGGTCAAGCATCGCGCCGAGTACATGTAGATTTCCCAATTCGCAAGGAATCGTGAAAACTCCCGGATCTTTGCACTTTTAGTAGGGAAAATCTCTTTTGTAGCACCGCGGATACATTTTCCTTGACTTTTATGATTTTATTTCCTTTTAATTTGTTTTTAGATGTATAGATTTTCTTAAGGAACTTTTCATATCTAGGGACTTGTTTTATTGCATCTAGAATGGGAATGTTAACCTCAACTTTTCTGAACATTGTCATGATTTCATTGTCCTCTCACTCTTTTTTTCCAGATTTTCAATTGCCTGGGAAATGGAGGTGTGACTTTCACGTGGGTAGTGATGATGGGATTCTATTGGTTAGACTTATCTTCCCTTTTGTCCTCTTGACTCAACTTTTTCACCACAATCTCTTATTCCTCCTCTTCATGGTCAACCAATAATTTGTAACGCCTGGTTCCTGGTATGCACTTAACTTATTTATTTATTCATTTTAAGAGAGGGGCTCGACGAGTTGGTGGCCCTAACTCGTCAAGTAGAAAGCATATTATGCGCGGGGTTTACTCAACTTTTTCCCAAACCCTAATCCACAAAACCCTAGAGCATCTTGTGAGTGTGTGAGCCATTTGTAAGCAATCTTTTGTGTTCTTGAAGCTTGAAGAAGAATAAGGAGTTAGAAGGCTCAAGAGGAAGAGAGTAGATCCAGAAACTACACTTCTTTGGCTACATTTTCTGGTAATCAAGTTTCTATCTTGATCTCTAGTTCATTAGATCTCTTCCTTCCCCTTTTTATGAAGTTTTTAGCCAAAGAATGATAACCTTTGGAGAATGGACGACCCAAGTGGATAATCTTCCAGATCTAGGACTAGAGGGGCTGTTATTGTTGGATATAGTGTCTAAGTCCATAACTTTATTTGGTATGTACTTGACCCGACCCGGCATGG